AGTAGAAGAGTATTCTTAATAAAAATGGTTCTAATGATTATATTAAATAAACTGTTGTTTGAATTTAACGAAATATAAATTTGTTATCCTTTATTCGTGTTGGGAGTATATGCCGACGTACAGTGCTATACTACACGTCTGATTGGATTGTTTATTAAGTGTTTATACATATAGTTTATTTATTGATTATACACGCCTACCTATATACCTTCTGCTTACCCTTTTCCATTTGTTTACGTTTGTAAACGCTAAAGAACTGGCTATAACAGTATCAATAGCTATTACTCAAACGAAATAATTACAGTAGCTTTCTTTGTTTGAGTAGATTTATTAACACCTAAGGCGCCTAAAAATGCAATCCCGGACGTTAGTCTGAAGAAACAGAAACTAACAAAAAAAAGAAAAAGCATTTGATTTTTTCTCGAACTTAATGTTTATGTTTTTCTGATAGTTAATTTTTCTTAAAGTAATTTCTATTGCTATAGTTAAAAAAGCAAATCATTGTCGTTGCTATATAAGCAAATTTGAATAAAGTTTATCAACGTCAGGTCATTGACTAAACTGCCTTATGATGCATAAATTATTCTATATGATCAGTGTTCTTTTTCAGAACGCGCACGCATTTTTTATGATGTCAGGTATGATTTTTTACTGACTCAAATATAAAAAGGCCTATTCATCCAATTTTAAGGGTGTGTCCTAACCTAATCTAAGTGCGAGAGGATCGTCAGTTGCCTTAGTAAAATCGAAGACCACAAAATTCTGATCTCGCAAATGTTTGTCAATAATCTTAGACACTTTTTTTGGATCATCTGTATATTGACGCACAATTCTGCATATATCTTCACGACTTCCTGAGCCTCGAAATAAAGCTAAGTGTGCGAATAATTTTAGGGGCTTGTGTATACTTCTGGATCACATATATACTTGATACACCTTGATGTCGACCGCTAATAAAATATGGAACAATCTGATCCTGAATTTTCTTTGATTTAGCACAAAGATCTTTGAAGACTATAACTGTATTCCTATCTGGGAAAAATTAGTTACGTCTGGAATTGCATCTGCTTTTAATGCACGAAATGTCACGTTCTCCCGATATGTTTTTGGGCCCTTCGAAAAATTTCGTCACAGTTTTTCACTAATACCCATTTGGGCTCATGGATATGGTTTCCGATTAAGACTAAATCATCATTTTTGTCCATTTTTCTCATTTGATTGGGTTAGCATGAAATTATATTGAAAAAATAAGGATTTTAATGAAATACACATTTAATGTTTCATATTTATTCTACTGTATAAGACCCAATTCTTGAAGATACTCTGAATAACTATATGCGGATCTTTGTAATACCAGACATATTTTAAGTCGGCTTTGCATAATTCTTTATCACGCTTTGCTGTCTGATGAAATTATTTGGGTCTCCTCTATGAAAGAATCCTATATATTTATCATGCTATTCTCCTTGTACTTCGATTGCAAACCCACAGTGATAATAAGGAATGTCAAGTTGTAACTCCATCGAATGCTCTTGTGTTTTTATTTACAATATTATCAAATTTTGCATACCATTTATATTGATTTTTACAGATCCATAATAAAGGAGATTTATTATTTTTATATTCTATTGAAAGATACTTACCACCCCGAGGGAGAGCAATTTGTTTAGCATCATCAAGAGTATGTTCGGCCATACCTGCATAGTATGGACACCATGTATCAGAATGTTTTATACTACTAAGTGAGGACCATTGATGACCCATAGAAAGTGGTGTGCTTATATTCTTGTATTACACTGAAAGGCATTGGCTTTGTCTCGATAATGCAATTTGATTAGCAATTTTAATATTAAGTTTTGCAGTACCAGCACAGTATCAACACCAGCTACCTCTCAGAATAGTTAGTGAAGGAGCTTCCTGTATATGAAAATTTTTGCAACACATTTCTTTACTTTAAAAAAGCAATTAAAATCTGAAAAATAGGTAGAAAAATTGTAATACCAAATTAAGACAATCTTATTAGTTATCACAAAAAAATTCACCAGTACAGGAAAATTCTTCTAACTTGTATAATTTCTAATACTGATTTAAAAATAGTCACAATCATAGAATTAGCAAATGCTATAAATAATTATATGAATAATAAAATAATATATATAAATATACTAAGTATTAAACAGATCAAATATAAAGAATAATAAAGCAGATTCAATAATTTGCAATGAAATTTAATTTATATATGCAATGAAGATATTATAATACAAAGGCTAAATAATGTAATGAAATAATACAAAGAAATTTTGCTAAAAAAAGGATGGATAAGATTATTGGTAATCTTTAGCAATTGTGAACTAATATTTAAAATCAGATAAATAAAATGTTAGTTAATATAGTAAAAAAGCAACCTCTGTATTGGTAAATTATTATTAAAAAAATTTGCTTTCTGGTTATTATATTAATAGAATGCTTACTATTTACAATTATATACTTATTTAAAACAGCTTATATTACAGTTCATTACTTAAAGCCTGTCTCTTATACACATCTAGATGTGTATAAGAGACAGATATTGTAGCGAAACGATCGATCACGTGACCAAAATTCGGCCTAATCACGAGGTGACGATCAATGTTCGAAATGTTGCATATGTTGCATATATGTAACATATCAAATATATGCAACATATCAAATATGTTCAACATATCAAATATATGCAACATATCAAATATGTTTAATTTATTTAATATATTTAATATATGCAATATGTTAGATATTTTTAGTCTGGTATTTTTACATATATATAGACCTGTAATTAGATCTGTAGTTGAATGAAAAATTGAAGTTCAGTAGAAGAGTTTTCTTAATAAAAATGGTTCTAATGATTATATTGAATAAACTGTTGCTTGAATTTAACGAAATATAAATTTGTTATCCTTTATTCGTGTTGGGAGTATATGCCGACGTACAGTGCTATACTACACGTCTGATTGAATTGTTTATTAAGTGTTTATACAAATAGTTTATTTATTGATTATACCCGCCTACCTATATACCTTCTGTTTACCCTTTTCCATTTGTTTACGTTTGTAAACGCTAAAGAACTGGCTATAACAATATTTTGGGAGTCAGGATCCACGTGAAATCCTTATTTTCCGTAAATAGTAAAGATTCACGTGGATCCTTCCCCACCTCAACGGATCTTTGGAATTAAAAAGTTTAAAGAATCCCTAAGGATAGGAAAGAATCCTTAGAGACATTTATTTAATTTTTATTAATAGATTATTTATTGATTTTTATTAAAATCTATTTATTAATTTATATATTTAATGTGTATTTATTTATCTCTAATATTATTGTATATATTATGTATTTCTCCAGTTAATAAAAATAAAACAATAATTTAATATAAAATACAAAAACAACTAATAAATAAAGTTAAAAAAAAATAATAATTCAAGTTTCACAATGAAACTTATCACTTTTCCTTAATTCTTCTGTTGATATTCGCCGCTAAGAAAGAGTGATTGGTTATGATCGCGTTGGAACATATTTTTAAATAAAGTTTGATAAGGAATTTCAAATTTATTGTTTACATAATACTACCCAGACAACCTAAAAAAAATTAAACATTATTTAACGCTTTTATTAAAAAGGAAACAATTGAAGTTTCGCAATGAAACTTACCTATTATTAAATTATTTTCTCTCTAATCGATACCCCAAATCATGGTAAAATGTCAATAGCGTCATCTGATTTTGAAGCAGGAGGGTTATCGATCCTAATTGCTTGCATGGCTTTTACAATATTCAGGTGATTTCCAATTGAAAAAGTATCAATCTGTTCGTGGATTTTACTAATAGCTGATCTATAGCCAGCGATAGTATTCCCCTATTGAAACCTACTTGTCTATAAAAAAAAGAAAAAGATTGAAACGTTAATAAACGTTTCATTAAAATAAATAATTCAAATAAGCCTTCACTCACCAAGTTCCCACACGTCTAAAGA